GGTAAAATCCAAAACTATAATTCTCCAGAAGGAAATTTAGCAGAAAATATTTGCAACCTTGATTACACAAAGAGTTCTCAGATAAGACACCAAAAGTACAATAAGTTGGTAAATTGGACTTCTTCAAAATTAAAAACTTCTGCTCTTCAAAAGACACTGTTAAGAGAATGAAAAGACAAGGCACATAAGGCAAAAAATATTTCCAAATCACACAGAAGATAAAAGGCATGTATCCAGAATATAAAAACAACTCTTGAAACTCAATGGTAAGAAAATAAACAATCCAATTTTTAAAATGGGCAAAAGATCAGAACAGACACTTAAAGAAAGAAGATATTATATGGATGGCAAATAGCACATGAAAAAAAATCTCTACTTCATTAGTCATTAAGGATATGCAAATTAAAACCATGGTAAGATACCACTCCACATCTCCTAGAATGGCTAAAATGTTTTCAAAACCTGACCACACCAAGTGTTGGCGAGGATGTGGTGAAACTGGAACTCTGTTGGAGGGAATGTAAAATGCTATAGCTATTTTCAAAAGCAGTTTGCTGGTTTTGTACAAAGTTAAACATATACTTATCATATGATCCAGCCATTCTACTCCTAGGTATTTACCCAAGAGAAATGAAAGCATATGTCCATACAAGGACTAGTACAGGAAAGTTCATAGTTTTATTTGTAATAACCCAAACTGGAAGCAACCCAAATGTCCATAAACAAGTGAATGTATAAATAAAGAGTGGTATGATTTTACAATGGAAACTACTTAGCAATTAAAAAGAATGAAAATTGTTACACTCTACAGCATAAGTGAATGTAAAAATAATCATGGTGAATGAAAGAGGGTAAATAAAAAAGAGTATATTCTGTATGATTCCAGTTATATAACATTTTAGAAAATGAAAACTAATCTATAGCAACAGAAAGCAGATAATGCTTGTCTGAGGATGAAGGTAGGGGAGGGTAGGAGGTGAATAGAGGGAGCAGGGAAGGGTGAGAGAAAGGGATTACAGAAGGTCACAAGGAATCTGTAGTGACTGATGCATATGCTCAGTGTTTTGACTGTGGTGATGGATTTATGCATGGGTACATTTACGTCAAAGGCCCCTCCTAATTTACTCTTGTCCATCAATTCACACTCATGGCAACACCCCCTGTATTATACTTTAAAATTTAGCAAGCAATATTGAATCCTTGTCTTAATGCTTCCTTCTTTACTTTGCTAATGTGTTTCTTTGCTGAAATTTCCCCTTTTCTTTATGGTCTCTTATTCTAGTTAGTTACTGATCATCCTAATGATTCAGCTCAAGTGTCACTTTTCCAGGAAGTCGTCTCTGTTTATGTCTAAGTGTTCACACCCAACCCTCACTTCCCCTAAGGAGTATCTGTAATACCTGTGTACCTCTGCCATTTTACTAACCATTCTGTTTTATAAATGACTATTCCCTCACTAGAATATGAGCTCCTTGAGGGTAAGATCTATGCTATTCATCTTTGGATTCTCAAAGCCTCATTACCTCAGAATTACCTGATGTAGTGGAATGAACATGACACTGCAGAGTCAGGAGCCTTGGGCTTGAATTTTTAGTCTACTAATAAACTGATGTTTTGGACATAGGCAAATAACTAACTTACCCATCAGTAACAGAAAGGAATTGAGCCAGATGCCTCCTAGAATCACATCAGCCCCAACATCCTGGTATCCTATGACAATTAGTTCAGGCCCCTGTAACCTGATTGTCCACAGAGCACCAACTGGCTAGGTGCCCAAACTTAGGGACATTCCTACTGATTCTTTCCTTCACAGACAGGAAAAAGAACCTCTTCTTCCTTCCTCTCCCACTTTCTACCTTTCCAGACTCATACCAAATTGAGTAAGAAAATCTTCTCACCTGGTGAAGATTGTCACTACTTTTGCCACATGCCATAAGGGCCCCAGAGAGAATGCTGCTCCATTTCCCTTTCCCCTTCTTCACTGCTACTGGGCAGTGATTAAGCCTCCCACCCCTTCCAACTACCATCTAGAGGAACTGACACCCCTCCCACAGTCAAAGTCTATGACTCTCAGCTCCATGACTCATGGTTCTATGCAAAAACCACCAACATCAGTTACCAGGAAATCTGCATGACCAAACTACACTTAGCTGTGGCTACCTTCCACAACTCAACATGGAGGTTAGGGATTAACTTTATCCTTTAGTTTCCTCCAATGGGCTTGAGCTGGTAGACCTGTGGATTTCTAATTCCATCCTGTCTTTTTTTGACCTGGACTAACAGCACGATGTAATCTACTCTTGAATTTAATCAAGCTTAGAAGTGGTTAAGGTTGGATAGAGGCTTCAAGAACCTCTGGGAAGTTGAGGTGGGACGAGCCCTTGAGCCTAGCAGTTCAAGACTAGCCAGAACAACATAGTGAAACCCCGTCTCTATTTTAAAAAATTTTTAAGTTAAAAAAAAAAACAAAAACCTCTATCAGTTCTTCATCTTCAGCCTTATCTGATCCAATGTTACAAGCTGGTCTGGAGCCACAGTAAGACAGCTTTGGTGCTACATAGACCATTACACTTATGAGATATTAATAAGTGCTCTTCAAACAAAAGCCAAGATAAAGAAAAAAACAGTATAAGAGAAAAGCTTCTTATATGCTAATGTGCATATATCTGTGAAAAGAGAAACATATACTTATATAACTACAAACCTATTTTTATGTTGGAGATTACTTATTAACAGCTCAAAGAATATAGTATTCCATGGAACACAGTTTGATAAACACTAGCTTTGGAATCAGACAGGTCTAGTTTTGAATTCTGGTAGTACTACTTATCAGAAGTGTGATCTTGGGCAACTTGCTTAACCTGTCTTTCACTATATCTTTGAAATAGGGCTATTAATACTTACCTCAGAGGTTGTTCTGAGGGCTAAATGAGATACTATTTCCAGGATGGCCCAGTCCCTGAGTATCTGCCTTATTCAGTGAATACTCACTGAAAGATCAAGTTCAGAGCTTACCTACCAGTCCATTCCCAAGGGTAACCCTTAGCTTCTAATAGATTTTTAGGAATAAAATATACATGGGGCCAGAATAATCCTTTGCTTGTTTCATAACTTTTAAAAAGAGATTTCTTGTGCCATTTGTAAAAAAAATTTTAAAAATCAAACAATAAAGAAAAGTACATGTTTCTTTCTCCATTTGTACCTATTAGGACAAATTGAAAATTTCAAATTTCAGTAATAAAAGATAAATAAATAAATGTAAGTATAGTTTCTGTAAGACTTCCTTTCAGTGAAGAAAAGTGTTTAATAAAAAAACACCTTTGTATGCTAAGATTGAGAATACATTATTAGAACACATTTCTTTCTCCACTGAAATCTGTTAAGACATGTTGGGAAATCCCAGCAATAAAAGGCAAATGTAAGCACACTTTCTTTAAGATGCATAATTATTTTCTTTCAGTGAATGGAAGAATTTGGTAGAGCAACACCTTTGTAAGCTAAGAGTGAGAATATATATTATTAGAACACATTTCTGACTCCATTGAAATCTATTAGGAAAAGTTGAAAAATCCAGCAATAGAAAGCAAATGTAAGCATGCTTTCTTAAAAAAAAAAAAAAAAAAAAAAAAATCTACATTTAAAAAAAAAAGAAAAGTATAAAGAAGAAAGCATAAAGTCTTCTGAAATCCCACCTCCCAGAGATAACCATCATTAGCATTTTGGCAAACATCCTTCCAGACACTTCTCCATATACATTTCTCTATATACAGATTTGTCAATTTACATACAAGAGCATTTGCAAGGTAATTATGGCTCCCTATCCCTTCCTACACAGAGCCTGTAGCACTCTTTGTTCCTTAGCAAAGAAAATTGAGGCTGTGATTAAGAAAATTTTTTTCTAAATAGGAGCGAAAATCTGTTCCCAATGAGGGCTCCCAAATTTAGGCTTTCTTGCTCAAACAAATTTAGATACATAATAGATAGTTCACTGAATCCCACAAAATACTGAGTTCCTCATAAATGTCTTATTTATAATCCTCAAATCAGCCTGACAACATAGGTGTCATTAGCCCCATTCTGCAGAGAAGTCAAGGACTGGCACAAGGTCACCCAGCTAAGAATCATCAAAGGCAGGGTGAAGGCCAAGGTCTTTCAGCCTCCAAAGCCCAAGCTCTTTCCACTATCCCAGGCTCTGGTTTTGTGCCTGTTACTTCCCAATTCATTTGGTGCAATGTGTTGAGCATCCAGGAGAAGACCTTCCATTTTTCATCAGCTTGTGCCTCTGCAGTTTGAACTCCTATGAGCAGTGGCTGAGATGCAATCAGAGTTATGACTGTATGTCCTTTTGAAGAGCAATAAGCAGTTGTAGAGAAAGAAGCAGGAGTAAAATAAAACAAAGCCAAAGCATCAACTCTCATGTATTAGTGTCGGCTCATCTCTCCATCAACTTATCAAGGAATGTCTGTTACCTTATTCCTTCCTAAAATTGTAATCTGGTAAAAATTTTGTTTCATCTAGGCCACTGTTAGGGGAGGGGATTTGGTGATTTATAGAAGAAGAGAGAAATAAGGAAGAAGAAAAGAGGAGAGAAAAAATGAAGAAAGACAAATCCAGATGATCTTGGAAGCTCACTTCCTCCCATTTGGGAGCTTAGCAAGACACTACTAACAGCTGAAGTGGGACAGGGACTCTTCTAATAAACTTACTCCCTAAATCAGGAACAGTCACCTAAAACAGTTAGCACTGTTACAGAGTCAAGAGACCAGAGGTTCTCTTTCCTCCTATGTAGAAATATGCAGAACTTTACAGACAGGGTCGCTTGGCTAGAGCCCTGTCCATGGTGTCTGCAGGCTGGCTGTGCTCAGATTAAGCAAGACTCTTTGTGGGATAAGAAAAGCCACTTTGTTGGTATTCCTATAAAAAATTTAAATAACCTGAATCTAATCATGAGGAAGCATCAGATAAACTCAAATGGAGAAACATTCTAAAAAAGAACTGACCTTACTCTCCAGGAATATCAACGGCAAGAAAAACGCAGGAAGTGTTCCAGACTAAAGGAGACAAAAGTTAGAGTTGAAGGCAATGCATGACTAGAAATTTCCTTTTGCTATAAAGAATATTAATGAGGTAATTGGTGGAATCTGAATAAAATGCATAGATTGTTAATTATATTGCATAAGTGTTAATTTCCTGGTTTTGATCATTGTAAAGTGGTCATATAAGAGAATGCATTTGTTTGTAGAAATATACACTAAGGTATTTAGGGGAAAGGGCATCAATCAAGTTACTAATTACTCTTAAATGAGAGAGCCAGAGAAGAATAAACAAATGAAGTAAAATGTTAACATTTTGGAAATCTGGGTGAAAAGAATTTAGAAATTTTTAATAATATTTTTTCAACTTTTTTATCAGTCTGAATTTTGTCAGAATTTTTTTAAAGAGGTGGAAAATAAATAAATGATCTAAGGGATTCTCATCTCAAAATCATTACAATTTAAGTCTTCTATGTTATAAATATTGAGATTCTACCATAGTTATTTTAAGAAGACTAAACCATGGAATAATTCTTGAATGCCTTTATTTGCTCCTGATATAGAGTAAGCCATAAGTTCAAATTAACTTTAACAAGTAAACTTTAGGCCGGGCGCGGTGGCTCAAGCCTGTAATCCCAGCACTTTGGGAGGCCGAGGCGGGCGGATCACGAGGTCAGGAGATCGAGACCATCCTGGCTGACACGGTGAAACCCCGTCTCTACTAAAAAATACAAAAAACTAGCCGGGCGAGGTGGCGGGCGCCTGTAGTCCCAGCTACTGGGGAGGCTGAGGCAGGAGAATGGCGTGAACCCGGGAGGCGGAGCTTGCAGTGAGCTGAGATCCGGCCACTGCACTCCAGCCTGGGCGGCAGAGCGAGACTCCGTCTCAAAAAAAAAAAAAAAAAAAAAAAAACAAGTAAACTTTAACAAGTTTTAAAAGATATGAGGTGTTAAAATCATTTCTTACCCCTATTCCTCAATCTAGTTCTCCTGAAATAGAAAAGGCCAAACAAAAAGATTTGGAAAATAAAATATATATTTAGTTTTTCTAGTGTTTAGTTTTCTAGCATAGTGGCTTAGGATCAATTACGTTTACAAGTAAGCTGTATTTTTATGTTTGTTTATGTTAAAATGCACTAAGAATTTATGTAAACGAAGAATAGTCTAATGATGCCTACTTAATAAAAAATCTCTTAGGAAAGGGACTATAGTATAATATAGAAGCAAGAGCAGCCATAGAGAATCAGAAGACATTCTAAATAACTACTAAGTAATTTTATGATTTTGGACAAGTCATTTTACTTGAAAAGTAAGCAGATTGGACAGTTGCAACAGCTCACATTTATTGAGCTCTCATTATGAGTTAGATACTTTATTTGAATATAAATAATCTCTAACATCACTTTAAGTACCAATATTCTAATTCTTGGAATATAGCACTCTCATTTTAAATGATTATAAAAATGTATCCTTGTGGCATATTTGCTTTTACAACAATTCTTGGTCATAGCTATGAGGTATTGATGCTATTGCTTGGGTAGAAATTCTGCTGTGTGCTGGTTTTTTGAAAAGATCAACAAAATTGATAGATTGCTAGCAAGACTAATAAAGAAGAAAAGAGAGAAGAATCAAATAGACACAATAAAAAATGATAAAGGGGATATCACCACCAACCCCACAGAAATACAAACTACCATCAGAGAATACTATAAACACCTCTACGCAAATAAACTAGAAATTCTAGAAGAAATGGATAAATTCCTGGACACTTACACTCTCCCAAGACTAAATCAGGAAGAAGCTGAATCCCTGAATAGATCAATAACCGCCTCTGAAACTGAGGAAATAATTAATAGCCTACCAACCAAAAAAAGTCCAGGACCAGACGGATTCACAGCTGAATTCTACCAGAGTTACAAGGAGGAGCTGGTACCATTCCTTCTGAAACTATTCCAATCAACAGAAAAAGAGGGAATCCTCCCTAACTTATTTTATGAGGCCAACATCATCCTGATACACATGCCTTATATTTTGAGATACATTCCCACTCAATACCAGAATTTATTGAGAGATTTCTTAGCCATCCGAGGAGGCCTGTTGAATTCTTCGTCCAAGCTTTCTAGCATCTATTGAGATATCATCGTGATTTTTGTCTTTGGTTCTTTTATAGTGTTGGCATTATTTATTAACTGGCAAGTTGACCACGCCTTTGCATCCCAGGGAGTAGCCCACTTGAGTCCGTGGAACAAGCTTTTTGATGTGCTGCTGGATCGGTGCCAGTAATTTTTATTGAGGATCTTTGCATTGATTAGCAGGGATATTGTGTCTAAAAATTCTCTTTTTTTGTTGTGTCTCTGCAGGCATTTTTTTTTTTTTTTTTTTTTTTTTTTTTTTTTTTTTTTTTTTTTTTTTTTTTTTTTTTTTTTTTTTGGAAA